TTCTGTTAAGAGAGATTGCTAATAACATTTCCCATAAAATTCTGAGGAGATGGACTCTGGATCTGGTCAAGAGCTGAGCGTGACTGATTGATGGGAACTAAGCTTTGTAGTTTACTTTTAGAAAGAGTTTTTTAGCACTTGAGACTTGCAGCATACAGGTGCCGTAGATTAGATGTATGTCTACCAGAGTAACATATATACAGAAGAGGAGGAGAGATATAGATGATAGCTGCTGGGAGGAGAGATATAGAGGATAGCTGCTTGGAGGAGAGATATAGAGGATAGCTGCTGGGAGGAGAGATATAGACGATAGCTGCTTGGAGAGATATAGAGGATAGCTGCTTGGAGGAGAGATATAGAGGATAGCTGCTGGGAGGAGAGATATAGACGATAGCTGCTGGGAGGAGAGATATAGAGGATAGCTGCTGGGAGGAGAGATATAGAGGATAGCTGCTGGGAGGAGAGATATAGAGGATAGCTGCTTGGAGGAGAGATATAGACGATAGCTGCTGGGAGGAGAGATATAGAGGATAGCTGCTGGGAGGAGAGATATAGAGGATAGCTGCTGGGAGGAGAGATATAGACGATAGCTGCTGGGAGGAGAGATATAGACGATAGCTTATGGGAGGAGAGATATAGAGGATAGCTGCTGGGAGGAAAGATATAGACGATAGCTGCTTGGAGGAGAGATATAGAGGATAGCTGCTGGGAGGAGGGATATAGACGATAGCTGCTGGGAGGAGGGATATAGAGGATAGCTGCTTGGAGGAGAGATATAGACGATAGCTGCTTGGAGAGATATAGAGGATAGCTGCTTGGAGGAGAGATATAGAGGATAGCTGCTGGGAGGAGAGATATAGACGATAGCTTATGGGAGGAGAGATATAGAGGATAGCTGCTGGGAGGAAAGATATAGACGATAGCTGCTTGGAGGAGAGATATAGAGGATAGCTGCTGGGAGGAGGGATATAGACGATAGCTGCTGGGAGGAGGGATATAGAGGATAGCTGCTTGGAGGAGAGATATAGACGATAGCTGCTTGGAGAGATATAGAGGATAGCTGCTTGGAGGAGAGATATAGAGGATAGCTGCTGGGAGGAGAGATATAGACGATAGCTGCTGGGAGGAGAGATATAGACGATAGTTGCTGGGAGGAGAGATATAGAGGATAGCTGCTTGGAGAGATATAGAGGATAGCTGCTGGGAGGAGAGATATAGAGGATAGCTGCTGGGAGGAGAGATATAGACGATAGCTGCTGGGAGGAGAGATATAGACGATAGCTGCTGGGAGGAGAGATATAGACGATAGCTGCTGGGAGGAGAGATATAGACGATAGCTGCTGGGAGGAGAGATATAGAGGATAGCTGCTGGGAGGAGAAATATAGACGATAGCTGCTTGGAGGAGAGATATAGACGATAGCTGCTGGGAGGAGAGATATAGAGGATAGCTGCTGGGAGGAGAGATATAGAGGATAGCTGCTGGGAGGAGAGATATAGAGGATAGCTGCTGGGAGGAGAGATATAGAGGATAGCTGCTGGGAGGAGAGATATAGACGATAGCTGCTGGGAGGAAACAAAGGAGCAAACAACAAATCGCCTGGCAACCACCTAAAAGCTGTGTACATTGCCACATTGGACTCTCAAATAGACAAGATAATTGTCTCCCCTCGGTAATGTCCTATATAGATGAGCTCAGCACTCACAAAGTGCACCAGCGTGGTCCTCACCCACCAGGACCAAGATAGGCTACATCAGCACTACACCTGTACCTCCCCAATAATGCACCAAACACTAGGACATTTTCAGCACATTGAGAACATTAAACACTGATGATTCAAAACACATTTTTTAAAAGTTGTCAACCTCGGAATCAAAGTAGAAAAACGATTTTGGCCAAAGTCTCAACTTGACGAGAGTCAAGAAAGAGGGACAGAAACCGTTTCCCACTACAGATAGGGCACTTTGTATTGTACAGATAGGGCACTTTGTACTGTAGTTTACGTTTCAACTCAACAGTCAGAGAGAAGCTTAGACACAGCCAGGGAAACCCCGAGACAGCTACTTGCAGTACAGCAGTGGGATAAGGTGAGAAGGCAAGCAAGTTGATTCCCTACCTAAACCTGGGAGGTAAGACAATAGTTTATTCTCTACATAAACCTGGGAGGTAAGACAATAGTTTATTCCCTACATAAACCTGGGAGGTAAGACAATAGTTTATTCTCTACATAAACCTGGGAGGTAAGACAATAGTTTATTCTCTACATACACCTGGGAGGTAAGACAATAGTTTATTCTCTACATAAACCTGGGAGGTAAGACAATAGTTTATTCCCTACCTAAACCTGGGAGGTAAGACAATAGTTTATTCTCTACATAAACCTGGGAGGTAAGACAATAGTTTATTCTCTACATAAACCTGGGAGGTAAGACAATAGTTTATTCTCTACATACACCTGGGAGGTAAGACAATAGTTTATTCTCTACATAAACCTGGGAGGTAAGACAATAGTTTATTCTCTACATAAACCTGGGAGGTAAGACAATAGTTTATTCTCTACATACACCTGGGAGGTAAACAATAGTTGGATGTTGGATCTGTCACTAAACCTAGACAACCATCAGGGTCCCGACGACATTGAAGACAGGACAGCAACAGCCTTACCGTTCTTGCAAACGTTTTCTAACAGACTCTATGGTAATTTCCGATGCATTTTGAAATTTTGAGAGAGCTGAGAAGGGCTTTAGTTCGTCTGACGAGGAAGCAGGCAGTTCAGCCCCCGCTGCTGCGGTTGTCTGGGTCGAAGAGTAGAATGACACGTTGCTGTTGTTGTCACTGACGGTTGTGCTTGGGAGCAGCTCTACACCAGGAATCTGAGGACAGTAAACAGGTGATTGAGGACAGTAAACAGGTGATTATCAGATTGTCACTTTTACAGAATCTGAGGACAGTAAACAGGTGATTATAAGATTGTTCCTTCTACAGAATCTGAGGACAGTAAACAGGTGATTATAAGATTGTTACTTCTACAAAATCTGAGGACAGTAAACAGGTGATTATAAGATTGTTACTTCTACAGAATCTGAGGACAGTAAACAGGTGATTATAAGATTGTCACTTCTACAAAATCTGAGGACAGTAAACAGGTGATTATAAGATTGTTCCTTGTACAGAATCTGAGGACAGTAAACAGTTCACCATAAGAATGGTACAGTACTTTTGTTTAAGTAAAACTTTATAACGGCACTTGCAAGACAATAAGACGCTTAAGTGCCGAAGATTAGAGGTGTTACAAGAGAGTAACAAACACAAAAAAGAAGGAGGAGAGATGAGGACGATAGGTGTTTGAAAGGAAAGAAGGAGGAGAGATGAGGATGATAGGTGTTTGAAAGGAAAGAAGGAGGAGAGATGAGAATGATAGGTGTTTGAAAGGAAAGAAGGAGGAGAGATGAGAATGATAGGTGTTTGAAAGGAAAGAAGGAGGAGAGATGAGGATGATAGGTGTTTGAAAGGAAAGAAAGAGCAAACCACACCAGGCACAATAGATAAGACACAACAGATGAATTTCACAGATCAAAATGTAAGGATCATTTCGGATAATTAAAGGATCATATAGTATAATACACCTTATTCAAGTCAGGCAAAATCCACATCGTTTCAGAAATTCTTATTTATCCGTCAAATCAGCAAATTGGCATTCTGCATATTTCACACCCACCTGAAGACTAACTGCTTTCCTGATCTGTTGGTTCTCCCACTCTCTTTCTTGATCGCTGTCTTCATCACTCCCTGATCCATGGAAAATCACAGAACACATTTCTCTTAGTAACATGGGAACATAGGCAACAGGAAGAGCTTTCGTTTCAGTCAGAGTTTTACAGCACTTCCACACAACAGAAGTAGGTCCTAAAAGCTTGGGGGTGTTCCAGGAGCATAAGATACAGAGTTTCACAGCACTTCCACACAACAGAAGTAGGTCCTAAAGGCTTGGGGGTGTTCCAGGAGCATAAGATACAGAGTTTTACAGCACTTCCACACAACAGAAGTAGGTCCTAAAAGCTTGGGGGTGTTCCAGGAGCATAAGATACAAAGACAAGGGGGAGAGACAGCGTTAGTTGTCGTTTTACTAAGAGTTTTACGGCATTTGCAGCACAGTAAGCTCTTATTAGTGCTGAAGTTTAGAGGTGTTACAAGAGAGTAACAGACATAAAGAAGGAGGAGAGATAAAGACGATAGTTGTTTGATAGGAAAGAAGGAGCAACCACACCAGAGCACCCGCCAACCACCCACGGAAAGACGTTTGATATGACAGATTTTTCGTTACCACGAAAAGAATTAAAATCTCCAGGTCCCCCCCCCCCCCTCTATTGTATGCACTGGAACTTCCCTTAACACAATATCTGCTTGACTGGAAGGAATTTTCAGACCCTGAAGTTTGCATGAACAACAGGGTTTTACTGTATTATGTTCACGGTTCTATAGCTCAATGACAGAAGAGTACAGGTACCATGTCTCAAGTACAGCCGACCGTGCTCAATGACAGAAGAGTACAGGTACCATGTCTCAAGCACAGCCGACCGTGCTGGTACAAACAACCACTTGTCTACGACAATCACTCCAACAAATGACCAATTCTCATTCCCTCCAACAAATGACCAATTCTCATTATCTCCAACAAATGACCAATTCTCATTCCCTCCAACAAATGACCAATTCTCATTCCCTCCATGTTTTTTTTCTCCATATCATGACACTGTGCATGACAAACCATTTTTCTCCTTGACCACCTGTATAAGACAACCACTTTTCTCCTTGACCACCTGTATAAGACAACCACTTTTCTCCTTGACAATTTCAACTGTACCTTGTTCTGCAGCCAGTAAATCTGGCACAGTGTCAGGAGCGCACACTTGCATCAGTCTCCCACTGTGGGGGACCCTAGTTTTTTATCTCTTGTTTTTATTTTCCACAGAGCCATGTGACTTGAAGTCAGCCATCCACTAACGTTCCTTCACTTGCCATACCCATGTCTAAGACAAGCACATCTTCCATACTGGTGGCTGCCATGGACAATTTTCACTGTACCTTGTTCTGCTGCCAGAAAATTATCCCGGAGCTGTTGTCTTTCTCGTGCAGCGTTGTTCACAGAGAAGTCAACTCGTTGGTCCTCTTCATCTTCACTTTTGTCGTTGTCATCGTCCCTGGGGATAAAACAGCACATGTATGGGTTTACTGCCCGTTTCAACACTTGCAGGTTATTTAAGAGGTGGGACCCCTCGAATTTAAAGTCCATCTCCGACAGGACCAAACAAATGGGTTGAGAGCCTTGGAAACTCAACAATATGAGAACAACCAGTCAGGGATTTGAACCAGGGTGAAAATTGCTCTGTAGTCCAGTATACCGGATACTAACAGAGGTACTAGAGTGCCTATCCCTGAGAGCAGGTCGGAAGGTCAATCACGGTGACAACCAAGGCTGGTGGTGGGCCAGGAACACTGACAGACATACCCACACTTACATGGGAGGAAGCTACAGTCCACGACATTGGACACACCAGAGAACTTCAAGTCAGAAAAAGATAAACACTATAACTCACAGACATACCCACACTTACATGGGAGGAAGCTACAGTCCAGGACATTGGACACACCAGAGAACTTCAAGTCAGAAAAAGATAAACACTATAACTCACAGACATACCCACACTTACATGGGAGGAAGCTACAGTCCAGGACATTGGACACACCAGAGAACTTCAACTCAGAAAAAGATAAACACTATAACTCACAGACATACCCACACTTACATGGGAGGAAGCTACAGTCCAGGACATTGGACACACCAGAGAACTTCAAGTCAGAAAAAGATAAACACTATAACTCACAAACAAATGCAACTGAGGCGAACTTTGGGCCTGAGAACAAAAACTCAACATTTCGTTAGCAAGGTTTCTGTTGTCTCCGCCTGATACTTACTGCAGGGAGGGGGGGGGGGGATATAAATGCCAACTCAAAAACAGATCTTGCACGCCACTCATCCCTCCACTCTGCTCACATACGTAACTCATCCCTCCACACATCCTTCTACTCGGCTCACACACACCACTCATCCCTCCACACATCCTTCTACTCAGCTCACACACACCACTCATCCCTCCACACATCCTTCTACTCGGCTCACACACACCACTCATCCCTCCACACATCCTTCTACTGGCTCACACACACCACTCATCCCTCCACACATCCTTCTACTCGGCTCACATACACCACTCATCCCTCCACACATCCTTCCACTCGGCTCACACACGTAACTCATCCCTCCACACATCCTTCCACTCGGCTCACACACAATAACTCTTTAAACCCCATTGGACGCTGGGCGTGTCCGGTGGTAATGACCCTGTTTCCCATCAGACGCTGGGCGTGTCTGATACTAGTGACAACTGTCTCCTTTGATCTATTGCTACTTTTTGCTTGTTTTTCAGAATTATTCCTGAAACAAGTTTTTTAGTAATGACTAAGCCTTTGTTTCCGCCATTTAGAAGTTGGAGGCAAGCTTTTGGGGTTGTAATGAGACATAGTGCGCCAGGTTTATGTGACTGCAGAAAAAACTCCGCGAAATGGTGGAAAAAGCTCAGGGTTTAAGGAGTTCAAAAAGGCACGTTCAGTTTCAGCAGGCACTAGGTCTTTGTGCAAGATCAGTTATCCTCAATAAGCCATGACACAATCAGACGTTACTGTATCTGTGTCAGACGTTACTGAATCTGTGTCAGACGTTACTGTATCTGTGTCAGACGTTACTGAATCTGTGTCAGACGTTACTGTATCTGTGTCAGACCAGACGTTACTGTATCTGTGTCAGACGTTACTGTATCTGTGTCAGACATTACTGTATCTGTGTCAGACGTTACTGTATCTGTGTCAGAACAGACGTTACTGTATCTGTGTCAGACGTTACTGTATCTGTTCTAATAGAGTCAGACATTACTGTTTCTGTTCTGATAAACAAGGAAACAAGACAATCATTACCTGACAAGCCTAGCAGTGGAAGATTTGCTAGACTTTTCTTCGGGTTCATTGATAGGTATAAAGTTGTCAGTTTCTCTTGCCATTTGTCGCTGCTTGCGAATAAAATGAATTGTTTTCGCGTCTGGTATTTCACCTCCTGTTGGAAAAAACAATTTTCAGTTTCAAAATGCAAGAAATGAAAAAGGAATACATAAAATGTATAGAAAAATCTTTCATGGAAACAAAAAATGGATTGTAAATTAAGGCTTATAAAATGTGATATATTAAACTGATACCTTCCTCTAAAAAAAAAATAATCAATTTATAAAGCTTAAAAATTGATCAAAAGACAAACAATAAACACACATTTTAGCATGTGAACGGTTTCCCAGTTGCCAACTTTTCAAGGCCAATTAAACAGACTGTGTAAAAACATGGCTGTTCCAAACGGTGGTCATTGGCCAAGTAAGTCCTCTCTCAACCTGTGCCATGCACTCCTTTCTGCACTCAGCAGATTCCAGCTATTCAAAAGAGACCCGCAGCAAGAATGTGACAAATGTTTTGTAAACATCTCGAACTATAAACTGACACACTCAAATTGATTTTTGGATTTCATTTTCACCATTGTTGGCAAATCTGCTTTTGAAAGTTCATAATATTTCCCCAGCATCAGAGAGTCTGTGAGGAGCAACACTAGAAAACAAATGTATTTGAAAACACAAAAACTCACTTGTTTTCACAACCTCAAAAGTGTACCAAATGCAATTTTTAAGCACTTGTCGGCACCTATGCCTTTCGTAACTTACTTGCCAACATGGCCTTGAAGGTCTTTTGACCGTCCCCATCATCACTGTCCTCTGCCTCCTCAGCATCTTCTCCATTCAAAGTGCGAAACTCCTCCCTCAGTTTCTGAAAAGATCACAACAGAACTCAAAACACTGCAACAACTGTATATTCAAACATTACATATTCTCAACCTTTGAAAAAGAACCTTTGAATGAGAGGCAAACACCTTAACCTGTAGGCCACGAGAGCCCCCGTAAGTGTAAGGCTTCCACTTGGATGAAGTTCTGAGCGTGCTAACTGTACTGTGAGCACCTGTGTTCTGAGTGGGGAGTTTTGAGGCTAACTGTACCGTGAGCATCTGTGTTCTGAGTGGAGAGTTTTGAGGCTAACTGTACTGTGAGCACCTGTGTTCTGAGTGGGGAGTTTTGAGGCTAACTGTACTGTGAGCATCTGTGTTCTGAGTGGAGAGTTTTGAGGCTAACTGTACTGTGAGCACCTGTGTTCTGAGTGGGGAGTTTTGAGGCTAACTGAACTGTGTGCACCTGTGTTCTGAGTGGGGAGATCAGACAAAAAGGGAAGCAAGCTCCTTTGTATTGTATCAGTGAGTTAAGGTAGTTTTAAATTGGAATCTAAACTTTGTTCTTCCATGTAGCAAATTTGCTCAACAGAAAAACCAAAAGACACAAATCATGTACATATATATAAACACATATATGAGTCCATTTTCCCAGTTCCAAACCTGGTCCTGCCACTTACAAATTGTAATACTTTGGAATATATTTGTATTTTCAAACTGCCTTTTCATACACATGTTTCACTGTCTTTTAAGTAATTATGCTTCCTTTCTAATCTGAGCGATCTCATGTTTGGTCACGGCCAGACCCACCCTCTGTACAACCCACTAGACATCACTGTAGCCTAGTGCCACAGTCAGGGGTTGATAGGAAGTTGAGACAATGGAAAAATAATTGCTAACAATGACATGCACACAAGTCCTGGCACTCTTTTTGCTTCTGAATTTAAAGTAAGAACCTTCAGTGTGATGTCGAAAAAAGGTCTTTATATTTTTTTAATGTGAAGGAACAGATCCCAAAAAGTGGCTCAATTATAATGACTTTAATTACAGAATCAGTTGTGCCAACACATAGGTGGACATGCGCCAGTGACCTTTGGGGGGTGGGGGTGAAAATGGCGAGAAAATGTGCTGTCCTTACCCGAAGCTTATCCTCAGCCCTTGCTTCGTCTTCTTCATTCTTTCTCTGTTTCCGGTAAGCATGATCCCGCTTGCCCTGTGCCTCTCCATCATCGCTGTCACTGGCTCCTTCTTTCTCTTTACCATTACCATTGCCATTATTTAAGGGGTCTTTTCCCTTGTCCCGGCGTTCCTTCTTCATCTGTTTGGCAATCCGTCTGCTGTGGCTGGATTTCTTGACTTTGAAAACTTCAGTCTCTTCTGCAATAAATCAAAATAGATTAACTTCTGCTGGTCGAGAAAATTCTGCAAAACTGTGCATACACATCGTCAAGTTTGATAAAGTTCAATTGTAAACAAATCAACTGTTAATTTGCGACAGAAATGAAGTCTATATTCGTGTTCAGCGCATCAATGTAGTAGAATAAGGACACATGATAGTAGTAGGCCCTAGATAAAAATGAAATGGGAGGGAACGTAAAAGAATACCCCAACGATAACCATGGAGCGTGGGTTTTGGCTTTACCAACGATTACTTGTTGTTCTAAACCATTACTTTTCCACGCGCATGCTTATATGACACTTGACGCTCAGCCAGCAAGAGATGATAGCCTATCATTCTCAAACCTGGGCTAATTAAAGGCCAGATGTCACTTTGGTGGACCCAGCGTGTTTACATGTATCTATGTGCACTAGCCACAACAGTGGGGGACTTCAAGGGGGCTTGCTTCAGGAAAACCCCCCAGCTTTTAGAAGGTCAGAGGGGCAAGGCCTCCTCAAAAAGACCCTACTGAAAAATACGTTCAATATTACTGCTCATTTTGTACTGAAAAATACATTCAATATTACTGCTCATTTTGTACTGAAAAATACGTTCAATAATACTGCTCATTTTGTACTGAAAAATACGTTCAATATTACTGCTCATTTTGTACTGAAAAATACATTCAATATTACTGCTCATTTTGTACTGAAAAATACGTTCAATAATACTGCTCATTTTGTACTGAAAAATACGTTCAATATTACTGCTCATTTTCTACTGAAAAATACGTTCCATATTACTGCTCATTTTCTACTGAAAAATACGTTCCATATTACTGCTCATTTTCTACTGAAAAATAGCAGCCCATCTCTTGCTCTCTTAGGATAAAACATCGATACCGAGTAACTAGGCTTGTGTCAGTATCGATATCTAGTAGGCCGACTCTTGGGACCAAAACCAGAAAATGCCCATTCCTTCACTAAAACTTATTTGGGAGGACTTCCGTAACGAGCGACCATTATGAGACAGAGTAGAATAGAGGCCTAAGAGTAGGAGTAGGGGTAGGAATAGGAGTAGGGCTTGGGGTACGGTTAGGGATAGGGAAAAGATTCGGGACCTTATGGTTTGGGTTAGGGTTAGGTCTCTTCTTTATTGTGTTTGTTGGGGTGGTCTCTCGTTATGGAAGACCTTCCAATTATTCAATAAGAACCCTGTTGGGAACTAACGGAAGGAGCTCTGCAGAGGGCCGGCCGATTGACAAAACACAAAAGAGGGCATATTTTAAGCGGGTATACAAAAAACATTTGGTACAGTATTTTGTAAAAATATGTTTGTGGCGGATATCACGGCGAGGCCCCACAGTTTTCCCACTTTCCCAATTTTTTCCAGGATTTGGAACTTTTTCAAAGGGATATGTACCATATATCACAGGTCTTTTAAAGAGGAATTTTTCAATGTTATTTAGAGAGACAGAAACAATCCATGAATATATCACCAAATGTGGTATAATATTAATAATCCATTTTATCCAATTCACTGGCCACAAAAATCATTATGTACACAATAAATGAACACTGAAAAAATAAAAATCAATTTTTAAAAAAGAAAAGAACCAAAAAAAAGAAAAAAAGAAATCAGTTGAAAATTTAATGTCTCCCAACATCGAAACAGCCTGAAATCATCATCAGCGCCCATCTGGACAGCTTACAGAATTCATAGCCATCGAAGAAGACCAATGAAAATTTGATTTTTTGCTTTAGCCCTTTTTTACTTGGTACCTAAGAAAGAATGTTCAACTCTAAGAATCATGCTTCTTGAATTTTGAGAATCGGTTCATAAATAAAAAAGTTATGGGGTTGTAAAGGTCGGCAAAATATGGATGACCCACATATAGGAAAATACTCCTAAAAAGTGGACCACGCAGTAGCAGATTCTGTAAGATAATTGAAGATATCTCGGTAATTAATTGGAGTGTTCGAGAGAAACTTGGCTACCCGTGGTGTTTTTGGGTGGAGAAATCATTTCTGCCTTCAGATTTGCTACCCATTTTGTAATTTTGTTATAATTAAAATTTTGGTGTACATATTACGATTTTGCGAAAAAAGGGTGTCGGGATGAGTCCATTCTATTTATTGCATCTTATCATAACATGGGAACTTTAAGAATATGTTGGCAGTGAGACTAAATAATGGCAAAGCTTTCTTTGATGAAATTAGACCAAGCCAACCTTAAAAGATAAGTTAATTTAATCTAGCATGCCGTACAATTAAACATTCTTTTTCCCCGTTGAGACGCGAACACCCCGAGACGAGATAAGCTCCCCTCGGAACACCCCCATTGCGATGTTACAGGAGAACAGAGAATAAAACAACAGGAGCGCGCGCCAGCCATTTCCCTATTTCAAGTGACCAATGAATGAGCTCAAAATCGTCATGCAGGGATTTGTAGGTCACATATATTTGCTGCGAGAGTGGGGGGAAATGGCCGGTCTCCGTGCGAAGCCACTTTGGATAGGGGGGTCGTCATACATTTATGATCGGGTCTAAACAACTACTCGACACATAACGTTCAAATTTGAGCACACTATAGAGCTTAGATAGATCAATTACCATCTCGGTGCTTAAATTTAAGCTCCTTATATTTTTCCGTACACCCGATACAAAAGTGTTCCCGACACCATAAGTATAGGTTAATTTATGTGTACGACCTTCAACATCCACATATCATTAGTTTGCCCTATTTTCTGATTGGTTGCCGTATTTCATTCACATTGGTCCAGAAATAAAGCAGATTGAGTTTGAGAAATTTAGTCACCTACGCTATGACCTGGTCCAAAAATTCCCCTGCAAACGGGGAGCAATTTTCGCAGCGAGGGAAAGCCCAATTGGCATTGCTACAAATAAACGCGTGTAATTGGGTTGGATTTGTAATGAATTCCAACGTTGGTGTGCTTCGGGCGTAAGAGACTTAAAAAGAAAAAACTTGGAAGACAAAACATCCACCTCATCGAAAAGGACGCTAAAGAATGAAAGAATGGCGCCAAGCGGAAGTAGTTTTTAGCCTCGGCTTCGCGGAGAGTCCCCTCGTGATTTTCCGTAAATCTCAGAGAAATGCCTAGTCGACCATAAGATATCAGAGACTCAGCAGGAGGGGGGCATCACAAACGACTTTTAAATTAGCAATGACCACGAAAAACCTTTTTTTGTCAGAAAATGTTTTCAAATAGGTGCATTTTGTAGCTGTATCTGAGCATGGAACTTTTTGAATTTTTGAAATCCATCAATAAACACAAAAGTTGCGAATTTTTTAATCAATTAATTTTTGGTACACTTTTAATATAATTTTAAAAACCCAAAATATGGGACGTTCTTTGGTGAGTTTTGAGACAATATTCGTCATAACTCGCTCATTTCTCGGAGTATTTAAATGAAACTTGGCAACCCAGTAACATTTTTCGTGCAGAATCTAGTCCTGCTTTCAGATTTTTCATAGCTATCTTACTTTTTGAGTTATGAAGACGTGTATAGGTAAAAATGTGGCGGTTTTCGGTGCGTTTTGAGACAATATTTGTCATAGCTCGCCTATTTCTTGGAGTATATGTAAATGAAACTTGGCAGTCTAGTACAGTTTTTAATGCAGAATCTAGTCATGCTGTTAGATTTTTAATATATCTATCATACTTTTTGAGTTGTAAAGACATTAACAGGTAATTAAAAAGTGGTGTTCTTTACAGATTTACAAAGATTATCATCTTCTCCCAAAGTATTTTCTCCCAGATATTTGAATGAAACTTGGCAACATAAAAGGTTCCTCCTTGCCTAGCAATGCTCTGGATCAATTTGTCACAAAAATGTAAGTAGAGAGCTGGATTTATTAGTCTAATTAATCCAGTTCTCTACTAGTAAAAGAATGCATACTTTGTAATAGAAAATAAGATCGTCTCTGTGTGTATATCCATTGTTGGACAGTGTCCTATTGTGTGTTAGATTAAGATGCGTTCAGATAATATAGTTTACAAGTCATGGGAATATTTCGCATGTGTAGTCTACAACTTTACAATAAATGTAACAAATTTACACCCCCCCTCCTCTCTCTCTCTCTCTCTCTCTCACGCCCACACACACACACATGCACGCCGGCGCACTCACGCACGCACGCGTGAACGATATCAATGTATAAACGGGATTATCTTCCCAGACTGGACTAAATAAGTACCATACTCTTTAATAACAATCTTAACACCTCACTTTTCCAAACAGAGCGCACAGGACGAGTCCAAGAGTGTGCTTTCCCAAGAGGGGGGAATAGGCTTTCATAACGAAAACACAATGCCATATATCACTTCTCAAGATGTTTGCTTTTCTGTTTCTATTCTTCTGTCATGCAATCAAGCAAATAAAAATGACTACATCTATTGTATTGTGACTAAAATGCAACAAAAATGCAAGTTATCAAGGCCCCCGTTTAGTTTTCAAGTATCCTTCCCCCCCTTTCCGGTTCACATAAGCGGGGCCTCGTTTGTAGCGCCCGAGGCACCCGAGGGCTGATGACGTCACTCAGTGGAAATTTCCCAGCCGCCGGTCGTTCACCCAGCACGCGCAAATGGCAATGCCGCTTTTCCCTTAGTTACTCCCACATTTTTAAAGATTACGCCAAAACCGCTGAACACAGAAGCATGAAATTTAAAGGGAATAAAGAAAAATGGTGTACAACGTATCAGTCAGTTTGACAAATCACAGCTCCGAAAATCCTCAAAGCGCACCACATCAACCACTTTCACAAACGTTTTCAACTGCTTCTTGGATGGATACAAAGTTGTCAAACTGCGTACTACGAGATTGACCTCTTTTCTGATTGGCTACTAAGTTTCATTCATATCCATTCACGAGAAGTGGCGTGAGAGCGAGTTGAAGACAACAACCTTTGCGTTAGTTCGTCCCACGAAACACCCCCGCAGCAAGGGCCAAAAATCGGCAGAACAAAACGCGCTCGGTGG